CAGGGGTGCTCTGACACTACCCGAGTCTGCCTGCCTTTGCTGTCGTCCTCCCCTTGTGCATAGAAGCAAACTCTTTGGCACCACTGGCTTAGCTTAGTAGAAATCAGGCGCATGAATACAAAGACCCATTTCTTGAGCAGTAGACACACTCCCACACTCAAAGTCAAAATAGCCCACATTTGGGAGACATACAAAATCAGCCAGACAAATTTAAATAGAGAAAACTCATTTGCAGCAGTAGTTTAGGAGATAATTAAAGTCATGAGTTTGGTTTCAAAGAGTGGGGTGGGGGGTGATGGAGAAAAAGGACATCTTATTCCCACGGCGATTATAAATCAATATTTTTATGAAAACTTGATCAATTTCCTGAGGGGAGAGATGCCAAGATTCTCCTCTGTTATCTGTGATGCTATTAATAGCACAGAAGAAAACTAGACTTTATTATAAGCTTTCTAAGACATGTTTTATTTCCCAGTAAAAATAGTGCTGTAAATGTAAAGCTTTCATATTATCAGCAATGTTTCTATTCTTTTTGCTTTCAAAAAAACAAAAAAAAAAACTTAATGCCTTCCTGAAGAACTGATTTTGATTTATTTTTTAAGTTCTGGGGATCAAACCCAGGGCCTTGAGCATGCTAAGTGTGTGCTTTGCTACTGTGATATCCCCCCAGCCCCAGCATTTAATTGTTTTTTAATATTTAATTTTTAAATTTAAATTTTGTGTTTTTTTAAAAAAGTAGATCCTTAGTATAGCTAATTTAGTCAGCTAAAGGAAATAGCACTGGTGAAATAGATCAGTATTTAGAGTAAAACTCTTCATCTCAAGCACTTTAGGCATCTCTCTTCAGCACAGAAACCCACTGGAGAGGAGGGGCAGATCAGAGCAGCCCAGAGGCACCCCCTCTTGGTGCCCACTCCCTCGCTCCCTTCAGTTAGAGCCTGCTTTATTTCCTCCTCTGCTCCAGAGCCTCCCACCTTCCCGGAGCTGCGATGGAGAGTGAGGGGTTAGGGTGGCCTGGGAGAGGGAGTAGGTGGGCTGCCCGCAGCTCTGCAGCAGGAGTTGACAGGTGGAGAGTGGTCCCTGAGGGCCTGGCCAGCTTGACCTTGATATTAGAAATGGAGTTTATTTAGGTAGTAGTATTTCAGTTAAGTAAACGTCCTGGAGGATGGGCTAGGCTGGGAAGGTAGAGCCTTCTTCCAGGGCTGATTCCTTTGCTTCTTACACCAGTCTCTGGGACTGGACCTCTCTCCACCTAGCCGATCAACGAATGGATAGAAGAACTGGTCCAGGGCTGGGTGGCTCCTGGTGCACTGTGACAGTGTCACCTCTGCACTCCAGGCGTTGCAGCTCCCAGTGAGGCAGCCTCAGGGCATTCATTCATCTTTGTTCTCCCTGCCTGAGCCCCTTGCTCAGGCCACTGTTAATACCTTAGCCCAGGCTTTGTCCCTCTTATCCTGAAGGGTCTCTCTGCCTTGCCTTACCCCTGCCTGTCCTGCTGCAGTGTGCATCTGATCCTGGTCTCTGTACAGCCTCCCCTTGTAACCTCCACTTCCCCCTGCATTAAGTCAGAACTCCTTAGCCTGACTCTCATCCTGGACAGAACTCCAGGGAGCAGCAGCTTATATCCTTCTTGCCTGGGACACAGCCAGAACAGTTGGTTTCTTTTGGCCACGTGGCAGAACCTAGACCCTGCAGGCAGGGTGACCTAGGTGCCACTGGACACTGTTGCACTGGGAGGGCACAGGGCTCTGTGGACCTTCTGCCTGCCAGCTCCTGATTGATCTCCGAGAGGCTGCTGTGGAAGGCATGCACCAGCTCAGACCTGATCACCTCATCCATCCTGAGCAGCCAGGCCTCACTGGGCCCAAGCTCCCACTGTTCTGCTGACCTGGATGCTGGCTTCGATATGGCCAGCCAGGGTAGTTGTTAAGTGAGCTATGTCTGTGTTTTATAGTATTTATTCAGGAGTATGTGTGCACATGTATGTGCATGTGAATGAGGGAAAGAGGAGATTCTGGAGAACAGAAAGAATTGCTACCTCTTGCTTATATCTGACTTTGCTATCATGTTAATTAAAAATTATCAAATTTATCAAGGCAAGGTTTTCATAACAGAATTAACTTTGAAATAAAACAATTCAGTGACATTTCACACATTCAGTGTTTTGTAGCCACTAACTCCATCTAGTTCTAAAATGTTTATCGCCCCCAAAGGCACCCTGTACCCAAGGAAGCAGTTGTTGTTGCAGCACCCGAGACAGTGCAGAGGAGGGCAGTCTTGGCTGGCACAGGACTCTAAACCAGGCCTTTGGTAACTAAGCGCTGTTCTTGGAGAATTCTTCCCGTGTGCTACTGTGCTAAGATGTGGAGTGCACCACCCATTTTAGGAGTTTTGCTTGTGGACATGAACTTGGCTGGGAGTGAGTGTCTTGCTACTGCTAGTTTTACAGAGCAACACCGCAAACCCAGTTAGCTTGAATAAGAAGTAAAAAGCTGCAGCATAGCTGGGCATGGTGGTACATGCCTGCAAGGCCAGCACTCTGGGAGGCTAACTAAGGCAGGCGGATCCCAGAATCGTTCTTAGTATTGGGTGCAGAGGGAAAGCTTGAGCATGATTTAGAAATAGTTGAAAAGCAGAGTTGTATTTAAAATAATAAAAGAAGGTCCACCCTATAAGAATATGTAGTGTTGATTATAATTTCTGGCATATTTTAAAACTAGCCTCAGAGTTGACTTATAATCTGTATGACCTCACATTTTTTCACTTGCCTTCCCTTAGCTATAGAAATAAATGGATTAAGAAATCTCTCTGGGCCACCTCAATCCGAGATGATGTTGCTTAGATCTTTACTCTTTTACATTTCTTCCCTCTCATAAATTATAGTGGTTATAGAAAATTACCAAAATAAAAGGAAAAGAGGGTAAAAATAGCCCTACTGATTAATGACAACCACTATTATCTGTGTAAAAAAGCTATATACAAATAGCACACAGGTCTGAACACCCAAGGATTGGTAGTTTTAAAAAAGAAAGAAAAAGGGAAACTTGTCTGTCATTACTATCCTTGGCCAGAAGGCACCCTTGTTACTCTTATGTGATTTTTCTGGATCTTTGGATCATAAGGTTGTTACAGTTTAATTTTTTAGCACAATTGTGATAATTTTAGGTTTGTTTTGTTACTAATTGTAATTATCATTATTTTTAAGTGTATTTCTTAGAGTTATTTTCTGTCCAGTACATCAACTTTATTGTGTTTAATAGTAGAATATTAAGTTGGGTATGGTGATGCATGCCTGTAATCTCAGCACTCTGGAGGCTGAAGCAGGAGGATCGCTGTGAGTTCCAGGCCCACCTGGGCTACATAGTGAGATATCTTATCTTAAACTCTCTCCAGTCACCCCCCACAAAAAGGTAGAATATTATTGTCTAAATGGTGTACCAAGATTGAACAGTCAGCCCCCGCCACCCCCGCAGTCTTGGGGATGAAGCCAGGACCTCATGCATTCAAGGTGAGCACTGTACCACTGAGCCATGTTCCCATATTTTTGATGAACATTTAAGTTGTTCCCAAGTACTCAGGGTTGCATGTAGTGCTGAGCAGAGGTCACTGTCGAGCATGAATACAGTGGGCACGTGTGTGCCTGCAGGGTGAGTTTCTGTGAACAGCATTGCTGGACCCAGGAAAGTGTCTCCACACTGCACTCCGTACAGTTCTCTGAGACATGGGGAAGCTGCTCTTCCCCATACGCTGGTCCATGCCAGATTTGTCTTTTAAAGCACCCCTATCTACACTAAAAAATAAGCTTTTTTTAATTGTTATTTCTGTAATTTTAAAATGATAGTAGACAGCATTTCATGTTTTTATTGTCATTTTAATTTGTATTGTAATATTTATTTTTGTCCTGTGAATTGTATACTCTTAGCCATTGCTTGTTTCCTTTGGCTTACTTGTTTTTAATACTGATTTGATACGTTCTTTATGAATTATCTATACAGAATTTTTTTGTGTATTTCTCTTCTTTCTAGTGTGTGCCACAATGCTGGAATTTAAACTTTTCAGTATGCTTTGTTTTTAACTATTTTTGAAATATAGTTGTGTTAGCGTATGTACAGTCAACATTACTACGTGCATTTTTTATATTACAAATTCCCTGTAAGAAACGCTTTTCTTACAGTATGTTGGGACATAGTCTGTAGTTAGTTACTTTCATTATATTTAATCAGTGATAGTGATGGCTTTTATTTAGGTTGAAGCCCTTCCTGTTCTTCAGGACAGATTCCTGAAAATAGAACCATTTGATGAGAATAAAAATATTTTGGAGTTCTTGCTCCAGCCCTGTGGAAACCAAGATGATTCTGCTAGGCATGGGAAAAGAGGGGCTGTGCTTGCTGGTAGCTGTAGGTGTTTCCTTTGAATCCATCCCAGAATGGGTTCTGGGCCTATGGGCACAGAACTAGATTTTATTGGTATAGACATCTGTGCACCACCATTTTCCCCCTGGATCCCCCACCCTGCACACACCTCCCAGTGCCCCAAGCAGGTACCCACGACAGCAGGCTGGTCCGCTTAATTGTGGTGAGAAACAAATGACTGCTAGCAAGTTAGGTGTATAGTATCGTTTAGCTCCCAGAACTTCCTCCTGCCAGGTAGCCATTGGAGAAGCCCCTGTCGAGTGTTTGGTGAGAGAGATCTTAATGGAGGCAACTTGGGGCCCTGTAGCCTGAGGTTCTTCTGGGTTATTCCAGTTCCTGTCTCCCCTATGGAGCTTACTCTGGCTTATGCAGCTTTACTCGGCAGGACATGGTTGTGTTTCTCCATCAAAATTCACAACTGCTCCCTGTGCAGCAATGCCCATCAGCAGTTTCATGTGGGAGGCTGTGGTAGATGGAAATGCAGTTTTAGGGTATTAGAGAATCTTGAAGGGCTCTTGAAGAAGTTCGTTTCTCTTCAGCGAAGTGGTAAGTGCCAAAGCAGACTCTTTATGGAGTGTTTCTCCTCAGGTCGTGATCAATGGAGGGGCCACATCCAGTGGGGAGCAGGACAATGAAGACACGGAGCTCATGGCAATCTACACTACAGAAAATGGCATCGCCGAGAAGGTATTTACCCAGTCCCAGGCCGCAGGATCATAGCGTTTAGGGCTTGGGGTATGCAGGAGGGTATGCCTGTGGTGTGTTCTCTTTGTAGTGGAGGTAGGAGTCGTAGTTACTACTTCATTTCTCCTGAAGAGAGTTAAGGTGAGCCCTGATCAGGGATGATACGTAGATTTTATTTTTAAAGACAAAGTCTAATTTTCTTTTATTAAACTCACTGAGTTGTCCAGGTTGGCCTCAAGCTGAGACTCCCAACTACTGGGACTACAAGCATGTGCCACCACACTCAACGTTATTTAGATATCATTAAAAGCTTCAGCTGGATGCCAGAGAGATGTTAAGAGCTTGAAGGCTAGAGTCAGCACGGAGTGTAAGTTTGATTCAGCCCCTAAGAGGATTGCTGCAGCAGTTTTTTGTGCTCTAAAATGGAATAGAAATATAAACCTAACATGCCTAATCTGGAAGTTCAAAACTTTTTTCAGTGCCCCTGAGAGTTTCGGAATTTGGAGCAATTTTGATTTCAGATTTTCTGGTGTCCAATTGGCAAATACTTCAAAATCTGAAAACCTCTGACGCATGAAAGACTTTTGGATAAAGGATACTCTGTTGGTATTAGCATGTATCTTAGTTTGTTATAAGGACTGAATTAGGTTATTTGTGTATATTTATATATAAACAAAGGTATTAGCACCGTGCTTGCTGTGCTGTAACACTGCAGTAAGAAAATGAGAGAAACTAGCAGATAGCGCATGTAGACAGAGATGCCTTTGATGCAGCAGCTCTTTGGCTAGAGCAATGAAAGTCATGTACTGCATTGTTCAGCATTGCATCGCTAATGAAATAACCGACACATGCTACTTGTGGTGGAGTAAAGAGGTATGTTTTGGCTGCCCGGTCTGGAGATCATGTGGCCCCAGTGGATTGGGCTGCTGTTAAGCATCGTTCATTAAGACTCCTGTCTTAATGGGAATGAGTGCTTTAAGCATGTGTCTCCTACCTGTGGTCTCAGGATTTCCACTTGGCCCTACCTCTTCAGAGTCCACAGCACCTTTCAGTAATGCCACTTTGGGGGCCTGGCCTTTAATAGCCAAATTCCAGCATGTACTAAGTTGGGAAAAGTGTTTTTTTTTCCTTGTACTTTGTTACTGGTAGCACTGTCCTCGACCCACCTGCAAGGCTGTAGGTAGTGGGTTGGTTTGGTTTGGAGGTGGCCTTTGTGTGGCAATATTCATGATTGCATCATGTTTAGAAGAATGGTTAGCTCAGTGCAAAGTTCCTGGTTAGGATCTGTGATGTGCTAGAAAGATTCGCAGGACTCATTCACCTTGTAATTCTCATGGTTTATTGTTTTGTTTTTTCCAAACAAAGAAAGGTTAGAGATTAAAGTGATAGAAAAAGGCACATGGGCAGGTGCACGGTCACCAGGCACCAGCAGTAATGTGTGACAGCCCTCATGGGTGCTCCTGCTCTGGGGAAGCCCACCCCAGCCTGGTGTACTGGTGTCGCCCTGGGAGTCAGTTACATAGGAAGCTCACCCTCAGAGTTGGTTGCATAGGTCTGCAGAGCTCACTTCATTTGTCTCCAAAGACTGGCTGATTATCTGTGTTCAAGGCCTTTACATAATTCACACTGTTAGCACAAACACTTGTCCCAGCCCAAGGCTTCTGGTCACAGATCCACTCTTAGGAGGCAAGATGCCCCGGGAGCTCATAGATAGTCTCCAAAAGCCAAATGTGCTTTAGAAAAAGGTGCAGGATTTGACAGCACCAGCCTATAAGCGGATCTTTTTTTTTTTTTTTTTTTTTTTTTTTTCCTTGGG